GATTTTTTAATTAGCGGGCGAGTTGTCGGGAGTCACTGCGCCGAGAAACCATTGAGTTTTTCATAGCGCCGCGACTTTCGTCGCAGTTATAATTTTTTCATTAGAGAGATTAAGGGATGAAACGGGAGTTGTTGGGTGGGGAATGTAATTCTCAATCGAACAGCATTGGTTTCATTCCTTAATATTAATTAGGAGAAAATATACGATTTTTGAATTAGCGGGCGAGTTGTCGGGAGTCACTGCGCCGAGAAACCATTGAGTTTTTCATAGCGCCGCGAATTTCGTCGCAGTTTTTATTTTTTTATTACATAGATTAAGAGATGAAACGGGGGTTGATGGATGGGGAATTTAATTCTCCATCGAACAGCGTTGGTTTCATTCCTTAATATAAATTAGGAGAAAAGAGACCATTTTTTAATTAGCAGGCGAATTAATGGAGAAGCGCTCTGCGCCGGAAAACCATTGAGCTTCTTATAGCGCCGTGATTTTCGTCGCACTATTAATTTTTTTATTGCAGAGATTAAGGGATGAAACGGGGGTTGATGGATGGGGAATTTAATTCTCCATTGAACAGTCTTTGTTTCATCCCTTAATAATAATTAGTGGGTGAATAAATCAACTGAAAAACATAAAGTAAACATTGAGTACAAGGTGGGCAAAAATCCTTCTACGTACTTGACCCTGTCACAGCAGGACTGCTACTGCCGAGTTAGTCACGCAACCCGACTCACATTTACCGACAATTCGACCGGGACGCCGCCTTTCCCGTGGGGTACCAACTAAAATTATTGAAGTNTAACCCCGAACGGCTCTTCGGAGGGCCTCCCCCAATTGGAAAAGTCATTTCTCCCCCCCTAATTACGATGAAAGAATGCAAGCAATATCGATCGATGGAGAATTANATTAGTGGGTGAATAAATCAACTGAAAAACATAAAGTAAACATTGAGTACAAGGTGGGCAAAAATCCTTCTACGTACTTGACCCTGTCACAGCAGGACTGCTACTGCCGAGTTAGTCACGCAACCCGACTCACATTTACCGACAATTCGACCGGGACGCCGCCTTTCCCGTGGGGTACCAACTAAAATTATTGAAGTCAGTCATATCCCCCGATCCGGGCCTCTACACAGGTCTATCCTCTTTGGATCAGAGTTTCATAGCGGTGGCGCGCATGAACTAATCGAGAGGCCGTCTCTGTGGGTAAAGAAATTTTCATCTATTAACATGGAAACAGTCGATAACAGAGATGCGTTCCCAATCTTAAATCNTGGAGAATTATGTTCTAAATAAATGACAGCGGTTTCATTGCTTAATTTCTATTAGGAGAGGAGGAATGAATTTTAAAATCGTGTGGTTTCATTTCTTAATCTCTATTAGGAGAGGAGGAATGAATTTTTAAAGCGCGCAGTAACTCCGAACAAGTTCTTCTCATTCAAAAATTAATTTCTCCCCTCCCTAATTGAGATGAAGTAATGAAACCAAAGCTTACCGA